ACAGCAAGTGTATGCGCAGCACCCGCACCAAATAAAACCCTTATCGGTTGAGAGATAATATTAATCCCTATTGTTTTCGCTAGAGAGACTTCAAATTTAAACGAGAATGGTTCTATTAATTGTTGGAGTGTGAGAAAAGCATAATCCAAGATGGCGCACTTCGCATTGCAGTTGATATCGAACACCGCCATTTCGAATTTCCACGTTGCTAGATAAGCATTTGCGTTATCTATGGTCAAAGTCACAACGTGTTGATAATCCGGTATAAGTAAATCCGAGTAGAATTTTTTCAACCCTTTAGGCATCGTATAATTAGCTCGTTTATCAAAGTAATTGATGAGGTTAACATTGACCGATGCAATGTGTACAGCCAGAGTGAGTTGTGGAATCAAATGTTTGTTAAAATAAGAATCAATTCTTATGCAACCAGCTAACGCTCGAGGACTAACGAATACCCTAGACTGATGATAGTCTTTAATCATAGGTGCTGTTAACACCACTCTCCATGTACACGCGACAGCTGGTTGCGGATAACTCTTTGGCAGTTCCAAATGACACATCTCGGTCTCCGAAAGATAAAACTGTGTGAATGTTTGATAACAACCATGACAATCAGACCAATATTCTAGATGACACAAAATCTGCTCGTCTTCTTCGTTTCCAGTGCTTATTTTAAAAGGAACCGGAAATACTCTAACCTTAGTCAGCGCCCTCGGTTGAGGATATCTCCACGCCATCGCGGATACGTTTCTATTCCAGAATACAACCTGATAGGGTAATGGCAACTCATCAATGTTGTTACTCGTTGAATCTACAAAATGGAAGGCTCCGGCACGTAGATCATCTTTGTAATGTTGTTCTTTTTCAGTTACAGGACCTTTGGATGGTTCTTTTCTCATCTTTGAAGTATCTTCGGAGTTTTTAGGGAAATTCCTAGATAACTCCTGAATATCCTCCAATAAATCTTGAATATTTAAAACCTGATCAGGGCTGATATCCAATACGATAGCATCGCTCTCGGCGGAGATCTGAGTCTGTGGACTTGAATTCATCGACTGCCATGACTCCCAGAACAACGTAACCTCAAATGAAGTACTCCATGGATTCAGTATTAATTTTGATGTACCATTGGAAACACACCCAATTGTCATACATTCTATACTCGTAGTGTTTAATAACTTCTCCGGGCGATTTTGTATGGATAAATTGTTTGTCAAGCTTGAAAAAGCAACACTAACCTCAACATCGTTTTTCGTGTGCATCGCAAGCACCATTTGTGATAATTTTAAATTAATAATAGATAAACCTTTAAACTTCTGTTTGATCAATTCATATTTTAAATAATGTTCACCTTTTATGGTTGTTTTCGGTGCTCGCACGTGCAGAACCTCCATATCCGGTTTTGAATCTGCCTGACTATCAGTAGAACTAAATCTACCACGTGGTACTATAATATTAGATAAAAATTTATCCTGAATCTGTAGAAGATACAACCATCTAGATAACGAGCATACGATTTTCGTCGGTTTTGCAATATCCACATCCAAAGTTGCAGGTTTTCCTATACCTTTACTCCATTTTAAGGTTAAGAAAGCTGGGAGTACACCTGTATCAAGATGGGGTTCCCCTGATTTTGTTTCTAGTAAATGCGTACCAAAATCATCCTCGCTTGGTATACTCTTCAAGATTTTATGTCCACCATGTCCATCGACTTTGATACAGACATCATAACATGATATCTGAATTTTTCTGCATAGCAATGTATCCGACATGAAGCAATTCGGTTGCGATAAGGAAAAATACAACAAAGGAAAAAATCTCCTTGCGTGCATTTTTACATCAATCACACTTTCCTCTTCGGAAGCTTCGTAACCTTTATCGCTTTCATTTTCTTTGAAAAATCGGGACATGTCACTCCTAGTAGAAGTTTCAAACTCATATAAAACCAGTGAAACCTTTCCGCCTGTTATTAAAACATCTAGAGGTATAAACGTCGATGTGTTACTCAACGTTGAAGAAGATTTAACAATTGCTGGTGCACCAGGTGATAAAATGGACTTTTCACTTAATTCGCTCATTTTTCTCAAAGCACCAAGCACACCACTGTTTGTTTTCAAAGAGAAAGAACTCCGCAGGTCTGAAGCTTGTGTCTCTATACCAGAATCTTTAGTCACATCCAACTCTACTTCCAAATCACATTCATCTTCCGGTTGATAAATGGAATACGGAAATATAACCTTCGATGGTTTGTTCGCGTCATTCTGCGCTAGTAAAACATCCAAAACACCAAGCGCCTCATCACTCAACGACATTATCAGCTTAATCTGCTCGAGGGACACCGTAAAATTAATATCCGATATGAAGTTAACCTCAATTGAATGCCCACAGATGATATCATGCTTGTAGATCATTGCCGGCGCGTAAATCACCGAGATATCAAATTTAGATATCAGAGACCAGTAGGTAATCTCCGGGCCTGACTTGAGTTTACCTTTTTCCAGATTATTCCATTCCAGCGCTGGGTTTTCACTCATTGTTTTCAACACAGACATACTTTTACCTCTATTCTTTAATAATTGACTTATCTCCGTCCACGAACCGGAATTCATGCATATACCGTTAATATCCAGTTGATATTGACGATCCTCCATCTCACTTCCGGGGACGTTCAGAATCCGCGCCTGCGCTGCTTGTTGGTAAATATCCGGTCTGCATGGAGTTCTACAGATGGGATTCACAGCGCTCGGCGATAAATTAATGCGATTCACTTGAAATACGCAAGTGTTGTGCACTGTACCGGCTTTTCCCATGTCTACCGAAGGCATGATCAATCTAAACCCGTTGAATTCAATGTACGTCAACGGTAAACTGCGATTGCTAAGAATTAAACTACTGGAAGATGAGACCTTCCTGGGTTGTGATGATAACGCTGGTACTTGTAGTAAAGGTTCCAGTACTAAGAAATAATTTTTCAAAGTGACAGGTGATACCAATAGATCAATAGGTTGAATACTGAGCATTATTTCAGTCATGTAGCGTGAGTACACAAACTCCGCCATTTTGTCTTCATCCGCGGTGCTTTTTTTCTTATTTTTGTTTTTTTGCTTGTTAGCACCCCATAG